TACCCAAGCGCCGCGACAGCGCCGACCAATCAGAGGCGCGCAGTAATTAGGCTGCTAATGCTAGCGGTTCAGAAGGGCCGTCTCCCGACTGCACCATGTGCAGCCCATACAGCTCATGACACACGTTGAAGATCTTTAAAAGAGTGCTGGAAGCGAGACTGCGAACCATCCAAGAACTGGCACCCACCAATGTGGATTAGTAAGAAGAAGTAGCACAATAGATATCCACGAAAAATAGTGATGGAAAGAAGCAGAAAAATGCAGTCCGAACTACACCTGGATCTAGCATTTGACACAGTAAGCATGGCATAATATGGCGGGAGCTACGCAAAACACGGTATCAAAAAGAAACATATCCAGTGGAATCGAATTTATAAAAGCGGCACGGCCGTCGGAAGAGTTCTAGATACGTGCCGGTGTACATTAGGCTCCGTACTCTTACTTTCACCACTACTGCTCATCACTGTCATAGATGCAATAGTCAAGGACTTCATATGGCTGCTATTATAAGCACTCCTGTACGCAGAGGATATGATTTTATTAGCAAGAAGCAAAGCAAAATTAGAAGGATGTTCAGAAGAAGTAGAAAGAAAGTCGGAGTTACACAAATTGAAGCTAAACACGGAGAGAACGGAGTATATGGAGCTGAGAACTTAAACATTTAGGACCACCCAGTCGGAGGGCATGCTACTCAAGAAGATTACTTCCTTCAAGTTCTAAGAATCAGTATCACTGCAGATGGCAGTCTTCACGACGAAATAACTAAAGGTGAATGCACGTTGGATGAAGTGGAAAAGCATGACAGGCTTTCTTGGCGACGAACGAATACCACGTAATGCAATGTCCTGATATACCGTACAATACAATGATTCTACAAACGACGCAAACGTGGGAGCAGCCGCATACACGTAACGAGGAAAGAAAGATTGGAGTGATGTAGACGCGAATGCTTAGGTGAACTCTAGGGCCAGTATAATCCCCCAAAGTCGTCACAATTCAAAGAAGACGCGGTCGCGACCGCTCAAAACGAACCACAACTTAGGTACGACGGGCTTTGGCCGCTACTGTGAACGTTTTCGCTGCCGGCACTTACAACACAAGAATGCGGAAGAAGCAGCTTAGCCCTGAACATGAAGAACAATCAATGAAAACAACACAAGGCAGTCTTCGCATTGCGCTCGTTTCCTGTCTACCTTGTCTGTGTTATTGTTGTTGTATATTTCATTAAGAAAGTGTATATTCTCTATTTTGCAGAGTCATGTTTGCATTTGTGCTTGCAGATGCCAGAAGAAGCGCCAACATCCGGTATAGTCGGCTTCATCCGCTCCAACTATCTCGTTGAAATCAGTGGCTCGTAGCTCGCAAGTTTCGGATGGAGGAGAAACACATCAAGAAGATATGCCGACTAATCGCGCTGCTTATAGGAGACTGCCAAACTTCGAATTGGTCCATCAAGTTGGAGAACAAGGTACGATTTTAGCACACTCATTATTGGTAATGTTGTTCTTTTACCTCAAAAATGCAAATGTGCATGATGCGGCAGTGCTTCTACGCGTAGATGTTAATGCTGCAACAATCACAGGCTTGTGCATTGAATGGCGCAGCGCGTGTGCGGAGGTTTTCGGGGGTTCAATTCCGGGACAGCGCAGTTTTTTGCAGGAAAGCTAAAAAAATTGCCAGTAACGTAGAAGATTACACGAAGTGGGCGTATACCTTACATTTTTAAGCTCTATTTTCAGGTAGTAATCGCCCTGCGATACCTGTCCACGAATGCCCATCAGGAAATTCTAGCTGACACCACCAGCGTCAGTCAGAAGACGGCCTCTAACGCGGTGCGTGATGTCGTGCACGCGCTTAACAACCCCCTACTTGTGCGGCACTTCATCCGCTGCCGATCAGGGGATGAAGCTCTCTGTCGTACGAGCGCCGCCGCCTTTACCCAAATTGAACCATTCCCAAATATCATCGGCGCCGTTGACAAAAGCTGCTGTTGGTGCTCACGGACGGTTTGTCTGCATAAACGCGAACTTTCCGGGGTCTGTGCACGATGCCAGCGTGTATTCTGTTTCGCAAGTGAGATATGCCTACGAAGAAGGTGCAGTTCCGCATGGCTACGCTTCATCGGAGACTCCGGATTTGCTAAGAGGAATAACGCTATCACACCAACTAGAAATCCGGCTACTAGGTCTCCTACAACCGATGGCACTCGAAGATGCGGGTCATCGTCGAGTGCACTTTCGGCATATGGACGCGGATGTTTGCCAGTTTGCGGATTGCAACTTTTCCGTCCAAAATAACTGCTTCGATGATCCCAATTTTTGATTTGTCGATATCGCGCGTGTTTGGTACGGATTGCACAAATCTGCAACGAAGAGCATTAGCCCGAGTACGAAAGCAAGAGTGGAAAACGAACGGTTCATGGTTCAATAGATTGAACGAAAACGAAAACGAACTAGATCAAGGGATTTAGGGAATGAACATGTCTTCACTTAGGCGTGCAATTAGATTCTTTTCGTGCATTTACGGACAGCGACATCACCACCGCGGGGGTGGGGGAACGAAAGCCGCCAGGTCCAGCCGCCTTTCGCGGCCAGCTGGTCCTTTCGCAGTGTTGTTGCATGTCGTTCCAGAACCAGCAGTCCGCGGAGGCGGCTGGACCTGGCGGCTTTCGTTCCCCCACCCCCACCGCGGACGTACTCGGGCGCTAGTCATTTGTCGGCACCACCATCTCTTTCCGTCTCCCTATGAAGCCACTATTTCTCCACTGTGTGCATGACGGCACGCTGGTGCTGCGGGCATACGCCTATCCCTTATCATGGCACGGCAGCAAAAAGGCATTTCCCGGGCATTTGCCGCGCTCCGAGCGAGTCGTCACGACTAGAGGGGGGTTTACTACAAGTCTAGGAGTTGCCATGGTACAAATCACGAAAACATTGTACAAGGCACGATGAAAGTTGCTTCAATCTCCAAAGATGCAAGAGAGACGCCTTTGATGGTATGGGACGTGAGGCGAAGGGGAGAAGACCACATAACAAGACGGGCTATGACAATAAAAGTGTCAGGAAAGAGAGTATGGGGAAGAGTTAAACTGCGATGGCTGGGCAGATTCAGAGCAGACAATTTGATTGTGAGAAGATCAAGCCTCAAGACATGCAAGAGCGCCAGATCCCGCATGACAGAAAAGTAAGGATAAAAAAATATCATTCATAAAAATTGTACTTGTAAACAGCATGCTTACTTACCCCCCCCCCCCTATGTCAACTTCCAGCCCGCAGGTCAAATTTTATAAAAAAAAATCGGTTAAAATGGATAAATTCGATATCAATCCATGATGAAAAGTAGGCTACGACACCTGTTAGCCCCAAATGTATGTGTGCCAAATTTGGTACGAAACGGTTCATCAACAAATAATATTAAAAGCATATGTACATACAAACGACGTGCAGGCATACATAGTATAAACACAGACATCAACTTTACATATAAGATTATTATTTATTGCATTTTTCTTGTAACTTGTCTTATTACATACGGCGCTCATTTTTCGATGTTAGTACATAATGATTGTCATGTGTGCAACGAGCGTAATCGTTTCTGGTCAATTTCATCATCGCCATCAAGAGTTATGGTAAGGAAATTTTCAAATAAAAAAAACAGTTGTCATGAATTTGGATGCAAATTTGCTATTGAGTGAAGGTTACATATACCCGAAACAAAATGACATTCATTTTGGGTAGAAGCCTTACTTTGCTGCGAAGAAGTTAGTTGTAGAAATCAATGGGCTAATTTTGACTCTGACAACAAGTACATGATAGTATTTAGCATATTACCCCAATGTGCAAAGTTTTGGCAATTCCGACGGTTCCGGCTCTGTGGCATTGATGGATTTCCAAGGCGGCTTTGACCATTCGACATTGGAGTTCGCGAAGTCGTCAGATATCGATTCGACACTTTAACTTACAACTCTTCTTTTCTGAACTCAGTATATAAGTAAAACAAACCCTGCCAAGTTTGTCTTTGATATGATGGAAGTGTTCCATATCTTTTGTGGATTCTGCTCTTCTTTTTGCTATCCGGTATATCTCACGTTCTCCCTCGCGAGACTCTAGATGATCGTAGAGCTCTTTCAAGTACACCTGTTTTGCATTCTTTACTGAAGCCTTCGCAGCGTGATTTGCTTGTTGGTACGTCTGACGTCGTCCTCTGATTTGGCCTCATGCCATTGCTTGTACGCATTCCTCTTCTTCTTTATGACTTTTTGCACTTTGTCATTCCACCACCACGTTCTTCGATTGATCCTTCTTTTTCCTGGCTTCGTACTTCCGAGGTTCACGTGTGCCACTTCGTGGACTCGGTCTTTCAAGCTTTCCCAGGATTGATCTGAGTTATCTTGCAAGCGTGGTAGAGTTGTTAGCAGTGTTTGTTCCGCCGCGTTGTTGCCTTTCAATCTCCATCATTTAATGCGCGTCCTGGTCCCTGTGGCTTTGCGGATGTGTCTATCTATCTATCTATCGTTGTTATATTGATGCCGAGAAGCAGTTTTTATGTTGAGGTATGCAGCTGTCCCGAAAATGACTTGCAGTCCTTTACGTTTTTGAGGTCACGCTATCGGATAGCCGGCCTATATGTGTTCGTCGATCGCCACTCGCATATGTTATGAGGTGATCATCCTTCTTGATGTAGTATGTGTTCGCCAGACCAGATCATGAGCTGAGGCGAATTCCAGAGTGCGCTACCTTCTTCGTTGTATGTTCTGTATCTGTGGCCTCCGTGACATTTCCCGGCTTCTCCTCGCCCTTTTCTCATATCCGTTGAGGTCCGCTCCTAGCAAAAGTGTCTCATCCAGTGGTATTGAGCTGATGTGGTCATCCAACTCCTGCCAAAACGCGTCTTTTTCGTCATCCGTACATCCGACTTTTGGCGCATAGGCGGTGATTACTCGTAGAACCTGTTTCCCAGTATCTATCTTGATGCTCATAGACGATCATTATGCGCTCAACGTCAACTATATTGCTCCGCAGAATCTCCGAGACAGCTATACCAAGCTATACCAACCCCGTCTCTGATGCAGGTGGCACCGTTGTACAAGAGCTTATATCCATCTCCGATGTCGCGTGACTTTGCCCCGCTCCACGTTGTTTCCTGTATGCAGGCTACATCGACTGCCGTCTCTTCAGAAGATCTGCTAACTCACGAGAACGAGAGGTGAGTGTACCCATATTGATAATAGCTAGACGGAGAGTCTGCGATGTCTTGGTTCGTTGCTTCTTTTGAATTAGCCGCTTTAGCAGTCCCCGTTCACCTTGCTGAAACGGTAGCCCTCGCCCACTGTTCGCATTCGTCGGGCTCGAATGCGCGTCGCCTCCCGGGGACGCCCTAGTCTTTATTCGAGATATTTTATGAGAATGTCTGCATTTAAGATGCGACGGGGTGTTTTTTCAGCCGACTTGTCGCATGCCCTTTTTTGAAAGGGCAACCTGACGCTGGAATTGTGAGCAGAGATTTGCCGCAAAAATTAGGAGGGTGGAATCGAACCACCTTCAGCACGGCAATGCTACGTAGAGCATTAACCACTAGACTAACTCTGCTTTATAGTTCCAGTCGTAGTAATGTTCAAGAAAACGTCAGGTAGTCTGTAGGACGGTAGATTATGCAGTGCGTTCGTCAGATATAACTTACCTCTCTTTGGAGAAGTAGGTCCATTGGATTAGAAGAAAAGTATGGATAAAAGTATGGAAATAAACTTAGTGATTGGTTGGTAAAATCTGGTATAATGCCACCTGAGCAGCACGGTTTTTTACAGGGCGCGTCCACCTTAACCAATTTAGCAGACAGTTTGTTCGACTGGACCACTGCTGTAAATAATAAAGGGGATTCCGTTGACATTATTTTTATTGACCTGTGAAAGGCGTTTGATAAAGTCTCTCATTCCAAACTTCTGATGAAATTGGAAGCTTATGGAATCTATGGGAACCTTCTTGCTTGGTTTGATTCCTATTTACGGAATAGACATATGACAGTCAAAGTTGAGCACCTCTCCGATAGACAGCAGTGCTCGAGTGGGATTCCACAAGGAGGATCGCTTTCACCATTATTGTTTCTTATTTACACATTGGAGTTGCCTTCTATACTTATGACTTCACCCTCAATCAAAGTGCAACTATATGCAGATGACATCAAAATTTATGGGACTTATGGGACATCTGACTGTGATGAGGTACGATACGCACTTAAAACATCATTTGAAAAAATGCTTGACTGGTCTACGAAATGGGATCTTCTTCTTAATCTTGATAAATGTTCGGTCATGCATATTGGACGGGAGGAAGGACCAATTTATGAAATCAGAGGAATTACATTGAAGCGCACAGTGGGCAAAGATCTGGGAGTTTACCTAATCCTAATTTGAAGTTCTCCCAACATGTAGACTATGCGGTCAAGAAGGCCTATAGAATTTTGTATGCTATCTTCAGAAACATTCATTATCGTAATCATTCCGTTCTCAAATGCCTGTATAGAACTTACGTACTGCCTCATCTAGAATATTGTTCACCTATTTGGAATCCTTACCTCAAAAAAGACGCTAAAAAGATAGAAAAAGTTCAACAAACTTTTACCCGTCTGTTATACATAAGAAGCATACAGCCTCCATATGGGGAGATTCCTTGTTACAATGACCGGCTCAAGTTATTCAATATGAAAAGTTTGGAGCAGCGCCGAATGATAGCTGATCTTATCTTTTCCGTGTACTGCGCAAAGAAGTAAACCTCTCAGCCAGCAAATACTGGGTATTTATGCCGGCTAGTCAACGCTCATTCTCTTTCAATCTCCATTACCCTAGAATAGGCCGTAGAAAGTTTTTGTTAGCCTTCAACAGCCTGTTCTATCGTGGAGCAAGATGGTTGCAACGTCTGCCACCGGATGTTCTTCGCTCTATCAGTAGTTCAAGTTTCAAGATGAAACTGAGGAAAGTAGATTTGCAGTATCTTATCAGTTCAAGAGACTGATTTCTAGCAATTCACGAATTTCCTTCCAGATCCGGCTTTCACATTCATTCTCGGTCCGTTGGCATTACAACAGCTTGAATATGAACAGTGCGTCAGGACGTGGTTGTCATCATCGAAGTTTCACTTCATGATACCCTGACGTGTTGTTTCTTATCATTCATCAACAGTGTTTCATTTCTTGTGTTTTCGTGTTTCATTCTTTTATTTGAAATTTCTTCAGCTCTCACATATAAGCATTGATGACAGTTCTTTCAGTATTAGTCATGCGTATTTTTGCTGTCCTTCCAGAGTTTCACACGTTTTAGTGGGGATATAGTCAGCTAGCCTCCGCCCGTAGGCTCGCTGGCCTTCAAAAGTGGGATCCAATTCTGGAAGATAGTAAGATATGCCAGCAGACTGTGATGTGGTGTCTTCTACTTCTGATTTATTCAGCTCTTGGCCTGAAGAAGACACTGACTCTGTTGAGATTAGCTGACTATTGTTTGAATTTACTGTGTCGTTGTTTTTGACTATATTATGTTGGCACACCTAGAGTGTAATCCAATAAACCAATAAACCAATAAAAAAAGAAAAAAACGAATACATAATTGCGGAATACAACATTTTATCTATTTTACAAGAAGAACAATAAGTCTTTGGGTTATAAATAAGTGAAAACAGCGTTTGTTCAAACTCAAGGTAACTATAGGTATAGAACTGGAAAGAGATAAAATGTAGGACAGGTAACTGGTACTTTGATAACATAGAACAACCATGAGAAACGTGGAAAGGTGCGGAGATCTAGAAATGAAGGAATGTGATTTAAACAACAGGTGAATTGTAGATGAAAAAAAAACGATAACAACGATCACCAAAAAAATCATTTACGCGTAAGTAAAGCAATATAAAAAAGAATAATATGAGGTGATGGAGCGGCAATGCTTGGTTGGAGCGGACGTCAGGCAACAAAGACAAGGATTAGTAAAAGGAAACATGACAGCACATGTTTGAACTGAACTTAGCGGAAGTTAACGCAACGCACAAGCACCTGCTGTCGTTGTAGCGAGACTTTTCATGCATCTTGCGATTACTAAACCGATACTACCCCATTTAGGTGCACGATCGACACCCAAGGGCCGGCACAGATCGTCTGGAAGCAGCCTGGACTCGTTCATGGAACAGAAAGCAAAGAGGATATCGTTTTTGCGGGCTCCGGAGCGGAGCAGCCGGAAAATGTGTACATGCATTACTAACGAAGCATGTGAAAGAACTGCACGTACGGTGCGCAAAACAATTCAACACACTTCCTGTAGTGTCAAAAGCAACCACTCATTCAAGCGCAAACTTCAAATACAGGTTACTAGACGATGTACGTGCTCTATCATGTCTTGCGAAAAGCGCGCGCGATTTGAAAGCAAAGCCAAAGGCAAATTGCTTGTTTACAGCGCACACAGAATCATATGACACCAAATTGAACTGTATACAGAATAAATATTATTTGCAAAAGAATTATGTAAAGAGGTTTGAAAACTTATTTAAAGTTTTACCTTTTTCAAAATTAGTCCGTCTCCAGACGGTCACCAGACGATCTGAGATCGTTCCGAGCATATACAGGGTGTCCAAAAAATGTGAACACTGTTCGATCGCTAATAACTCTCTTTCCTTCATGTCTTTTGCCGAGCTTTATGCACCATTCTATAAAGTGAGGTTCAACTTAGATTTACAGTATGGAGCCAATCGTCGATCGCTCTTCATTACTGCAGGATTACGGTACGAACTTCGACAAGGATTTTAGGCCATTGGAGGCTATATACTGACTCGGAACAAAGCCAAACAAGCCAAAAATTCTTATACTACGGTAATGGGAGACGCTGATTTCGAATATGAAAATTCCACTTTACTGTGATGCTTCTTTCCAAAGTTATCCCAGGTAACCCGTAATAACCGAATTCCCAGCATTTGTCAGAAAGGTGATTACACAGTAAAAAAAAAGCTGAAAACACTTATAAAAAGTTGTGTAATGGAATCAGCGTGCGCGAAAACCCTAGTACACGATTTTTCAGATTTTTTGAAAAAAATTTTGTCAAATGGCATATTTCACAATAGATCCACATGTTAGAAGTTCATACCGTAATCCTACAGTAACGAGCAGCGACCGGTGATTCGCTCCATACTACAAATCTAAGTTGAACCTCGCTCTACAGAATGGTGCCTCAAGCTCGGCGAAAGACATGAAAGCAAGGGAGTTATTAGAGATCAAACAGTGTTCACATTTTTTTGGGACACCCTGTATCTTTGTAATCACATAAGTTTCGGATTTTCCTATCCTGGACGGATTCCCCGGTCAAGAATTCATCCTTGAGTACGGGAACATTTTCGTATCGTTGCCTTTCTGTTTTTTGCCTCAATTTCTTCATACGCTTTGTTAGCTATCGCGCTTCAATAACAAGCTTTTGTGCATGCGTAATATTCAGTTCCACTTCCTATTTTGACTCATTCACATTTTTCCTTTCAGACTGGTAATCTTTCAATTTTCCATCTTCTCCTAAGACGAAAGGTTTCCGATAAAAGCTAAAGGGGACTTCATAAAATTTTTGAAAGTCAGGGGGACTTTGTTTTCGAAAACCTCAGAAACAGGACTCATACCGTGCATTGGCGGCATTTAGTTCGCTATGAATGCGAGCAGCACTGGGCGCATCGCTCGCGCCAAGCGATGCGGCGGTCGTTTTCCCTTACTTTCCGCAGTTGGTGCTCCCTATGGCAGGCGAATCCCTTCGGCGCGTTCAATTGGAGCAATCAGAGCGCGGCTTGTACATTTGAAATTAAGGTAATTGATTAATGAACTGACCGTGATGAGATACTTTTTTTTCCAGATTTCTTCCGTGTCCGAAAATTGTCATAAACTGACAGGAGCTACCCAACTTAGACAGAATATGATATGTGTAAGATTGGGTGTTCAAATGCTTGATAAAAGACCTGAGCAAATTCTAGGTCTGCGGATGCTTGATTATCGCTGTTTTCGATGATCGAGCCTCAAACAATGTTCTACTGCGCATTCAACTGTGCATTCAATCCATGCCATGGCTATAAAAGCCCAGGCACTTCCTACTACATCCCCTCACCCTGTAGGGGAGGTCAACCTTCAATAGCGAGTCCACTTAAAACAACGTTTTAATCAGGCCAAATTTTTTGATTCATTGGAAGCAGTTAGGATACATTACATGTTGACCTAGTGTTTGTTTTATTAGGCTGTCCAGAGATCAACGCACGTTTTTGTTAGCGAATTTTCAAATCAGCCGTTTTCCTGTGGATGTACTCGTTGCGATCACTTTACGTTGCATGCTATCTGGAAACGCAAATACCTTCTTTAATATGGTGTGCATCGGCTATAAGCTCTATCTTATGGAGTTTTCAAGCATTTTAGGAAAGTTTCAAATAGAAAATTCCTCTTTATCCACTATTTTGTCTAAACTCATTGTTCAAAAAGATTACGTGATAACATTATTCAGGTGATAAAATTTGTGGGTTCAATTATTGCTGACATTCAATAGACTATAAAACTTCTTCTGGGTTTGAGTAACTACTCGTATAGGCCAGAAACATTTCTTTAGAAACCTGTTTTGTATTCCAGTAAGTTGCCCTTTACAGCCATTGGAGAGATGAATACGCGTTCGATAGATATCTTAACACGTTTCGGACCGCGAAATCGCGCGTGGCGAAAAAGAGTGCACTTTCAGCCTTTCGCCAACATAGGGACCTCATTTTGTAGACTGTGTGCTACATCTGTAATCAGCCATTCAGATAAGCTCCGTACCCAAAATTCTGAGTGAATTCGAAGTGTTTGAATTTTGTCGCTTGAGAGAGAAGGACTTTTGCGCTTTTTGAAAGATAGGAAAAAGAACTCAGTTTCGAATTGTATTCAAAAGTAACTATGTTGTACACGGTACACCTCACTATTGAAACTAGGGTTTTTCTTTTTGAAAACGAAGCAAAGAAAAGTTGCGACGGCGCACGCGTCGTTCGCGTTGCCGCACTCCGTTGCAACTATTGTTCGGTTTGTCCTCATATCTCCTAAACAAATATAGGCGGCACAGCCCTACGGAGTCATGTGAAAAGTGGGAGCTTAGGCCTTTGACTTGCTATTGGCCTAAAAGAAAACCTCCTGTAGACTTCAGAAAGATCCTTCAAAGCAGCGTGCTGCACCATGTGCAGCACCGGTCCGAAACGTGTTGAAAACAGTGCTTTTTATCCCATTTCAGAAAGATATGATTTGTCAACTAAACTAGTGCAAGTCACATGGTGGAACGTTGCAAAACATGCACTAATTTGCGAACGACTTGATGGTTTTCACAAGTTGCCTGACCTACGAAGTCATAGAGAGTCTACTACTCAAAACATCTAATCTTTTGAAAATGCGAAAAGAATCGTTATTGCAAGGCGGACTATATCACATTATCAGCAGCATACGCAGAAAAAGGCTTTCACAAAAAAATGAGCCTGGCAACTCTAGTCCTACCAGTGGTGAAATATCAAATGTGTTTTGTGACCAAGCTGTTTCAAAAATTGAACAAAAGCTCCTCTCTACAGAATCCATGATGCAATCAATCATTGTGCGTAGAATCTTTTTTAAAGGTGCTTGCGCATCAGTCGCAAGGAAAAAAACGTAACTTCGTGTGTTACGAATTTGAATCGATGAATTACGTTTCATAACCAGAGCTTCTCTCGCTTCCATTTCGGAAAGAACACTTGAATAGGATGACGATCTTTGGTATTGCTTGGTAACCTTGTATGTGATTAGCTGGCTTACCCGGCTTCGTCCGACCCTGTGAACACTTCGATAAAGTTCCCAACCCTATCCCTTAACCTTTCGATGTGCACACTTCTACATACCAATTCCATATTCCCGCCTTGTTTTGTACTCGGCAAGCCCTACCCTCCTGGGCTACTCCCAGCGCCGCGACAAATTAAAACGGTAAAATAGATAAAAGCAATAGACAATTTTACAAGCTAACATTGTATTCGTAATCAGCATGTCTACTTACCCCCTTCCCTCCCCCGTGCAATTTCCAGCTCCATGGCTCGAACTTTGCAAAAAATCGATAAAAATTATGAAACTGATACCGATCGATAAAAGTAGCCTATGATGACACGCTTCCGAAGTTTATATGCGCCAGGTTTGGTCCAAATCGGTTCAGAAATAAAAATTTCTGTTCAGTACATACGTACACACATACACAGAGACGACGCAGGCATTCATCTTTATATATAGACTAGCAACCCTACGGTTATATAAAAATTAAAAACTTTTTCAAAGTATGAATCATCAACATCCACGAAAAATAAGATATTTCCTCTATGTGTATGTCAACCTCAATGAACCTTGATCAAGACTAAATTTACCCTCCTTTGTTCGTTTTTCTTACACTTCGATTACAGAATCTAAACTTTTGAGTAGAACCAGCGTTATGGAGATCAGCCTATTCCGTTTTTTCGTTTTCATTTCTCTGGGAGATCGTGTGCCCACTAATGTTCAGCGTAGAGTAAGACGGAAATTAAGTAGATTTGTTTACTTCATTCTTTTTCTTTTTCTCACTTTATAGAATTGACCTTATTATGGCGCATAGTCTTCCAGGGTTGACACGCCCACTTTTTACGATCTAAAGAGTCTGCAATGTAATTTGAAGGTCACTAGAGTAGAGAAGAGATAAAATATTTTTTATGTGAACATAACTAAGGATTCGTTCAAAACAATTCAAAATTAGTGTTGATGGAGAACATAAATTATCTCAACTGTACGATTCGATCGTCAGCTGGCACGTACTCGATCATCTATAATTCATGAAAAAGAACAAAGTTGGAGACGAGTAACCATTTATTTCGACAAATTCGACTTGCATAATTCTCTAAGTGACATATTTGACGTTTCAATAGTTCGGCGATGATGATATGTAGCAATGCAAGATTTTTGCAAGACACAAATCACAGAACGGTCAAAGCAGCATCAGCCTTGGGCGAATTGTTTTTTCAGATTTTGTTCGGCCAAGTTTGTTCGTTAGTTTCTTCGCATACTCTAACCGGTTGTGGGCATATCATTAACCTAAGCACATAGAAGAGACAAATACAATCAAGGAAAAAATATTGAGTGCCGATACACCAACAACAAACTATTAGTTTGCCCCATAATTCTTTTCTTCGGACCTTCAAATCAATATTTTCAAGAACTAGGGCACCTACAATC